AAAAAAGCCAACAAAAATATTCGATCAAATACTGGCAAATTGAATCCAAGCAGTTACCAAAATTATCATCCCCACCATGATCAAGATGGCTTCATCCCAGAGATGTAGGGTTGGTTCAATGTACAGAAATTGCACAATGTAATCTACCATATAAACAAATTGAATGAAAAAAACCCCATTACCATCTCAATAGATGCTGAAAAAGCCTTCAATAAAACCTAGTACCCCTTCATAGTAAAGGACTTTGACAGATCAAGTACGCAAGGAACATACATAAACATGATAAAACCAGTGTACAGCAAGCCAACCACCACTTCAAATAAAATTTGGAGAAATTCAAAGTGATTTCATTAAAATCTGGATCAGGACAAGGCTTCCCACTCTCTCCTTATCTATTCAACATAGTACTGAATTTTTTACCTAGAGCAATAAGACAACTAATGAAGGCAGGCCTGGTCCTGGCCCAATCTATTCTGTCAGATTATATTGACTCCACATGGGAGCCATTAGCAATGAGGGTGAGTGAACAGGGCCTGGGCTAGAGGTAAGTGGTGTTGGGAGGGAGGGTGGGAGAGAGAAATGTGGTGGGAATGTAAAATGAAACAAAAAATAAAAATGAAAAGAATATTAAAATTTAGGTTATTTTATGAACACATCATAGAGTGGGTCAATAAGAAAGACATTAGAAGAAGATAATTAATTCTAGATTTGATTAAAACACTTATGCATGTATAAAACACTCAAATATTTTAAGTAATAAATGTTAAAAAAAACTAAAAATTAACTATGGTGGATTGTCCTGGGAGAAGTCAGAAAGGGACTTAACTCTCTTTCACATGAATCTGACCTCAGAGTGTGTACCCATGCTAGGAGACCCAGTCATCATTCAGGGATCATGGAAACTCAGTGACTTCATAACACCTTATCCCTTTGGATAAATGCACAAGGAGCTCTAAAATGTCTTTGCTAATTAACAACTAGAAATGTTTCATTTATTATCTAGTCTCCCACAGCTAGCGCTGTCATTCTCACTGAAGGTGAAATGAAAATTGCAGATCTGGAGGGAGGTAAGGTCACAGAGTCACAGACCTCTACATCACCCTTGTTCTAACTCTCCCACAGTGATGCTTATTAATGCATTTGGCTCTGCACACTGAGGGCACCAACCTTCAGAGATATGAAGCTATGTGAGTACTGTGTATTTCAGCCTGAATGGTAGATTTAGGAAGGAATAGAGGTCTGCATAAGGGTTCAGATCTGGTAATGGGCTCAGGGATAGAAACAGATCCATGGATTAGATAAAATGCACAAGAATAAATTGCATAGCTGAAAGATGAGCTAGAAAGTTCAAAGATTTCCTAACCTTGTATCCATTGTTGTTTCTTATTGTAATATATGTCCCCCGCTGATTGTGACTGTTGGTAAGAGAGGGATAATTCAGCCCAATTTTGAATGGGTTGAAGACTGTTGGGAACCAATCAATATGATAATTCACCTTAGCTTATGTAATGTGTAGACTATATCTTCAGGATTACTATTGGACATTTTGTACTATGGTTTCACATCTTAGTGAACAGTAGAGTGAAAATATAAGATGCACATATGAGGTCGGAGCACACAGAGACCAATCCCCTCAGAAGTACTGTGATTTGATATTGACTTAGGAGATAATACATTATGTAAAAGTGAAAACTTTTTTGTTACATATTTTTATGTTCTTTTTATCATCCCTGTTTCCTCTCCCTTCCTCCGTCCCTCTTTATCTCTCCCCCCTCACATGTATCCTGACCACCCTCCCATCCAACCCCCCCCCAACTCCACATGTAGAGTGATGCTGTCCAGGAGGGGTCATCTAAATCTATCAAGTCATTTGAGGTAGGGACTAGGACTTCACTCCTGTCTCTAGGTTAACTGGGTATCCTTCCATGGGGGATGTGTCCGCAAGGTCCTTTTGTGCATCAGGAATACTTCATATTTCCACTGTCTGAGGTCCCTTAGCCTGCTCAGTCCTTCTAGATGAGACCCATATTCACGGGGTCTGAGTCAGTCCCATGCTGGATTCCCAGCTATCAGTCTGGGGGCCCGTTAGCTACTCCTTTTTCAGGTCAGCTGTCTCTATGTGTTTCTGCAGCCTGGTCTTGTCCTCTCTCTCTCTGCATCTGGATTCTAGTTCGGCTCAGTGTTTAGTTATGGGTGTTTGCTTCTGCTTCCAACAAGTACTAGATAAGAGCTCCATGATGGTGGATAAGTTAGTCGTTGGTCTCATTATCAGGGAAGGACATTTATGGTAGCCTTTCCACTGTTGTCCAAATTGTTAGTTGGAGTCAGTCTTGTAGGTATCTGGACATTTCTTTAGGTTCACTGTTCTCTTCAATCCAAAAAGACTCCCTCTTTTGCATTCTCTCTCTCTCTCTCTCTCTCTCTCTCTCTCTCTCTCTCTCTCTCTCTCTCTCTCCCCTCTCTCTCTCCTCCTTCTTCTTCTCCCTCTCTCTTTTCTGTCTTCTATTCCTCTCCTGACTCAATCTTCCTAGTCCCACGTGCTTTCCTCTCCTCCCCTTCTTTTGTTCCTAGTTCCCTCTCCCCTCGCTGCCCCCTCACTCCCCATGTGCTCTGGAAAATCTGTCCCTTCCTCCTTCTGTGAGGGACTTTATATGAATCTCTTAGAATCTACCTTGTATCCTAGTTCCTCTGGTGGTGTGAATTATAGGCTGGTGATCCTTTGCTCGTTTTTAATAGGGTTATTTGTTGTTTTGGTGACTAGTTTCTTGAGTTCTTTGTATCAGTCCTTTGTCAGATGTAGGATTGGTGAAAATCTTTTCCCAGTCTGTGTGCTGCCATTTGGTCTTGTCTACTGTGTTCTTTGCCTTACAGAAGCTTCTCAGCTTGAGGAGGTCCCATTTATTAATTGTCAATGTCAGAGTCTGTGCTACTGGAGTTATGTTCAGGAAGCAGTCTCCTATACCAATTTGTTCAAGCATACTTCCCACTTTCTCTTCTAAGAGGTTCTTCAGCTGGATTTATGTTCAGGTTTTGATCCATTTGGATTTGAGTTTTGTGCTTGGCAATAGACATGAGTCTATCTGCAGTCTTCTACTCACCATCATACAGTTGTGCCAGCACCATCTGTTGAAGATGCTTTCCTCCCCTCATTGTATACTTTTAGCTGTTTTGTCAAAAACCAAGTGTTCCTAGGTGTGTGGGTTAATATCAAGATTTTCAATTTGATTCCATTGGTCTACTTGTCTATTTTTGTGCCAATACCAGGCTGTTTTCAGGACTATAGCTCTGTAGTAGAGCTTAAAGTCAGGGATGGTGATACCTCCTGAAGTTCTTTTATTGTGCAGTGTTGTTTGGGCTATCCTGGGTCATTTCTTTTTCCGTATAAAGTTAATCATTATCCTTTTAAGGTCAGTGAAGAATTGTGGTGGGATTTTAATGGAGATTACATTGAATCTGTAGATTGCTTTTGGCAAGATTGCCATTTTTACTATGTTTATCCTACCTATCCAAGAGCATGGGGGATCTTTACATTTTCTGGAATCTTCTTTAATTTCTTTCTTTACAGATACAAAGTTCTTATTATATAGGTCTTTCACTTGTTTTGTAAGTGTTACCCCAAGATATTTTGTGTTGTTTGTGGAACATTTGAAGAGTATTGGTATTAGCTCTTCCTTGAATTTCTGATGGAATTCTGCACCAAATCCATCTGGCCCTGGGCTGTTTGTGGTTGTAAGGCTTTCTATGATTGCTTTTATTTCATTAGAGTTATAGGTCTATTTAAGTTGTTTGTGTGTTCTTGATTTAATTTTGGTAAGTGATAGTTATCCTGAAATTTGTACATTTTCTTTGAATTTTCAAATTTTGTGGAGTACAGGGTTTCAAAGTATTATCTGAAAATTGTCTGGATTTCCTCTGTGTTTATTGTTTTCTGATTTTGTTAATTTGCATATTCTCTCTCTGCTTTTTGGTTAGTTTGGATAAAGCTTTGTCTATCTTGTTGATTTTCTTGAAAAAACCAACTCTTTGTTGCATTGATTTTTTTTGTATTGTTTTCCTGGTTTCTACTTTATTGATTTCAGCCCTCAAGTTGATTATTTCCTGGCATCTACTCCTCCGGGGTGAGTTTGCTCCTTTTTGTTCTAAGGCTTTCAGTTGTGCTGTTAATACTCTAATGTGACTATCCTCTATTTTCTTCATATGGACACTTAGTGCAATGAACTTCCCTCATAGCACTGCTTTCAAGGTGTCTCATAAATTCGGATATGTTGTGTCCTCATTCTCTTTGAATTTTAGGAAGTCCTTAATTTCTTTTTTTATTTCTTCTTTGACCCAGGAATGGTGCAATTGCACATTGTTCAGTTTCCATGAGTTTGTAGGTTTTCTGGGATTTGTGTTGTTGTCTAATTCCAACTTTAAAGCATGGTGGTCTGATAAGATACAGGGGAATATTCCATTTTTTTTTTTTTTGGTATCTGTTGAGGTTTGTTATGCCACCTAGTATGTGGTTGATTTTATAGAAGGTTCCATGTGGAGTTGAAAAGAAGTTATATTCTTTTGTGTTTGGATGGAATGTCCTATAGATGTTTGTTAAGCCCTATTGAGACATAACTTCTGTTAGTTCTTTTGTTTCTTTGTTAAGTTTCTGACTGGTGGTCCTGTCTAGTGGTGAAGTCTCCCACTATAAATGTGTGAGGTTTTAAGTGAACTTTGAGTTTTATTAGCATTTCTTTTATGAATATGTGTGCCTTTGTGTTTGGGGCATAGGCATTCAGAATTGAGACTTTGTGCTGATGGATTTCTTCTGTGATGAATACGAAATGACCATCTTCATCTCTTTTGTTTAATTTTAGTTTGAAGTCTATTTTGTTAGATATTAGGATAGCCATACCTGCTTGCTTCTTGGGTCCATTTGATTGGCAGATCTTTTCCCAACCCTTTACCCTGATGTACTATCTGTGTTTGAAGCTTAGATGTGTTTCTTGTATGCAGCAGAAGGATGGAAATATATGTAATGCTTCATGAATTTGCATGTCCTCCTTGTGCAGGGGACATGCTAATCTCTGTATATTTCTAATTTTAGTATATGTGCTGCGAAAGGGAGCACTTAAATGTGTTCTTTTATTATTGTCTCTTATTCCTTCTTCCAGTGGGTGCATGTAGGGTCTCTTCCTCTCCTGGTGGGTACAGGTCCAAGTCTCTCTTCTTCTGGCTACAAGCAGGTCCAATACTATGATGGGTATCATGATGAATGTAGACAGGTCTGAGAGACTCCCTCTGTCAGAGGGTTGGGATGGGTTGTGGTGGGTCGATCCACTGGGAGCGAGTTTACCTGCTTGCAGCTACCAGAACAGGTGATCCCAAAGAGGGCAAGTGGAAGCCCGGCCTGAGACAGGGCTCTGTTCTCATCTCTTTCTTGAGCAGCTGCTTGACTAATACAGAGATGTCAGCAGACTGTGTACTACTCTATTCACTGGGATCAAGTTTACTTGCCTGCAGCTGTCATGCCAGGAGATCCCAATGATCTAAACTGTGTTTCTAAGCAGTTTTTGTATTTAAAGTGTCCCATGCTCTTGTAATTTTTAGTTCAGTCCTTGACAGTGGAAATAATGGTATTGTCTAGATCATGCAGTTTTAACTATTGAAGAAGGTGACAAACTGAGAATATAGCAGTGACTCATATATTGTCATCAACATTTTCCACATGTAAAAACTATATTTAACTCATAAAATTATATTTCTCATTATTCATTTAAATCTTTACACAATTTTGAAAAGAGAATATTTTCATGTGAAGATAAAGGATATCAATGGGTATAACCTTGTCCTTACACTCTTCCTGTGCAGGATGCTATAATTATAAAGACAAATGTACATAAGTAGATTTTACTCAATGACCTCACACACCTAAGCATAGAAGAGGTCTCACATTGTAGTTGACTCTCATCCCTGTTTCTTTTGTTTAACATTGCTTCTTATTTCACAACAACAGACCCAGGTAGATACACAAATATTCAGTTGTCAAGCAAGTAGAATTGATACCCCCTATTCATTGTCAACTGCTCTTAAAATGAAGCATTTGTCAATAATTGTATTTTTTTCCTTCCTCCCAGATGTGGCAGGGTAGGTGAATCATCATTAATTTCCTAGAATTTTTTTTTTTAGATTCTCAGCAAGTTAAAGATCCTAGGTTAATAGAATTTTTAAAAGCTTCCCAGGATGTTGGGTTTTCCTTTTCCCTCTGTTGAATAGTGTCTGTTTTAAACTGTGTCACAACTGACCTCCGTACTTCTAAAAGAATGCTGAACACCTCAGCACACACTAGTGTAAACTAACCTTGAGGCAGAGATATAAGGATGTTGTCTCCAACTCAACTGATGTGGGTTCTTCCAGTCCCCAGAATAAACAGCTACCGCCCAGACGCAAAGCCAGTATTTGGTTTGATGAACCACAACATTTTCCACATCTAGGACCCCATGCTTGACCTTGCAAAGGGACTAGTCCTGTGGGAAAAAAATAATCAGAGGATCTCCCAGCCATGTGGGCCTGCCACAGCATATCACAGAGCAATTAAAGTGAGTATTCAGTGATGTTGTTTTACCAGAATCCAGAAGCCTTTAACCAGACCAGTGACTCATTGCAATGAACATTTGCTTAAAAGAAAAGTTCTCATAGAGGCTCTTTTTAATCCTCTTATGTGTCTTATGGCTCCCATTCTGGGTTTGTGGCCTTGGCACACACTAACTTCCACGTAATCTTACAAATCAAAAATTATGAGCCAAGAAACAACATCGACACACAAAGTACATTCTTGGTTCTTCTCAGTTTGTGTTACTTCACATAAGAGAATATTTTTAATTTTCTGCTGTAGCCATTTACTTGGGTGTCTTGCCAGTTCACGAATAATAAAAAATTGCTATTGTCTGGTCATTCCTAACATCACCAGATTGTCTTATATTTTTCATAATCCAAGATAATTATGCCAGATGATTGTCTCTACATGGCAGAATTGTGAAGTGGAAAAATGGCACCCTTCCTGAGGCTCTTGGTTCATCCTGGTACTGCATATTTCTTCAATGGGATCTCCCCCTACTTAAGAAGGCTTCAGACACATTCTCCTGAAGGAATAGAATATTGTGCCCTGAGAGTCTTCTTCCTCTCCTCTGATGGGCTATCTGACCCACTGCCTTTTTTCTACCGTTTCCACTCTGGAATTCTGAGTGGTCCCTAATTATCCAAAGCATAATGTCAACAGAGATACTGAACATTTCTGCATTAGCCATCATTCTTCAGATGGTAACATTTTCCTTGCCATTGCTGCTGACTTATTTTTCCTATTATTGTTCTGCTGAGTATTCTGTGTGATATCATTCCTCTGAATGCTCGAACAGTCCTAACCTGAGTGCTCATATGTCTATGTATGTGTCTATGTGGTGCAACTTTGCATAAGAGCTTAACTCTTAGCATAAGATACAAATTGTTATTTGAACCATCATTTGAATGCATTTTATGCTCTTAATAAACATTTTCTTATATACAACTATAAAAGTATCTTGAATGACCTCATATACTTTTCCTTAATCAACTTTCAATTTTACATGAAATATACATTAAGAAGTGGTATTTTTTGGATTTTGTAAAAGTCATTGAAATTGCTAGAAAATAGCTGTATTCTCACAGTCTTAGACTATGCTTGTTGGTAGTGCCCCTTCTTCTAATTGCCTCTAACAGGCCAAATAAAATTGCCCACAATACTATATATCATATGTTGATGAAGGCATAATACCCATTCACATGTGCATGATGAGGTCTTAGCCATCTTATAGTTGAATGCGCTATAAGTAATACTTTATGATGTCATTAACTTTGAGAAATTCTTGTTATGTAGTTAGGTCTGACATGGTAGTTCTGAGCTATAAGTAACATTCTGATTCAGCCTATCTGTAGATCTTGACTTATTAATACTTTTCACTCATTTTGACCAAAGAAATACCCTTTTCCCTTATCTAAAGAAAACCATGCTAAGTAACAGAATATATTTCTGGAATCTGACCAACACAATAATTTTATTCTCATTAACTACAACTGGAATTGTGGGAAATTTCTCTCTGTTTTACTACTATCTAGCCTATTATAGAGAATGCAAATTAAAAACTATATATTTGATTCACATCCACCTAATATCAGCCAACACCTTGATTGTACTCTCTAGAGGAGTGCCCCACACAATGGCAGCTTTTGGTTTGAAGCAATTTTTAAATGAATTTGGATGCAGATTACTTTTGTACATTGAAAGAGTTGGCCGCAGTATGTCCATTGGCACCATCTGCCTTTTGAGTGTCTTGCAGACCATCATCATCAGTCACAAGGAATTCTGTTGTAAGGATCCAAAAGCCAAAGCTTCTAAGTACATTGGCTGCTCCATTGGCCTCCTCTGGGTCGTGCACATTTTGTTACATTTCATTTTCCTTGTGCACCCAATTTTCAAATGGTATAGTAATAATGTGACAAGAATACGAGATAATGGATACTGCTCCACTCAAGGGCGGAATGAAATCTTTGACTCACTCTATGCAGTATTGGTGGTGTGCCCTGAAATATTATTTTCTTTGCTCATGGCCTGGTCTAGTGGCTACATGATTGTCGTTCTTTACAGACACAAGAAGAGGGTTCAACACATCCGTAGCACTTGTGGTTTCAGGAGAAACTTCCCTGAGTCCAAAGCCACCCATAGCATCCTCATCCTGGTGTGTACCTTTCTGGCTTTTTATACTCTCTCCTCCATTCTACAAGGCTGCTTGGCTCTTTTGCATAATCATAGTTGGTGGCTTGTGAACATCACTAACCTCACTTCCTTGTGTTTTTCTTGTTTTGGACCCTTTGTCCTTATGAATCCTTGCTCTATGGTTCCAAGATGCAGTTTTTACTGGATGAGGAATGTAAACTCTCTTTTCCTTAAGTAAATGTATTGGTTTACTCAACCATCTCCTTCACAATTCAGTACAAAAGTTATAGACATGGTGTCTCTAACTATTAATGCAAATGACATGACTCAGAATTTTGTCAGCTTTTTTTATTAGCTGCCCACATTAGCTTATTCCACTGTATGGGGATGATTTCACTCTTCAACTTACACTTTCATGGATTCCCTTTATGCAGCTGAAGCATAAAAGAGATAACCAAATGTTTTCAAGCCAACCTTCTTTCAGATTTCCTTCTGCCAGGGCATCCTTTTTGCATTGTTATTTCAGAGACAGTTTGTGGATCTAACTTCAAAGAAAACAGATTCAGTGGATGTCTATGAAGTCGTGGGTCAGGAGGCCCTTGTCTCTTTACAACTGTTCTAATTTTCAGCAGTACCAGGGAACTTCTACAGCTAATACATCCTACATATGCAACTTGCAGATCCAACAGAGACAATCAGATTAGTTTGCTTGGAAGTTTGTAGTAACAGTCTTCAATAACATCTCAGAACAGAGCATCTTCCCAGGACACTACATGAAAAACTATTATCAGTATCTATACCTCATATACAAATGGATTGGAAATGAATGATGGTTTCAATGTTATTTGATTTTTGTTTGCCAATATTTATTTAGAAACTGTATATCCATGTTCATCAGGGAGATTAGTCTGTGAATTTCCTTTTTATTCTTGTGTTGTTTTCTGGTTTGGCAACAGTGTAATGTGGACTTCATCAGAAAAGTTTGGAAGACATTTGTTACATTCATAATGGGATGAGCTTTGAGGTTCCTTGAAAAACTAAAAATAGAACTACTATGTGATCCAACTGTTATACTCATGGGAATATACCTAGAAATCTCCATTTATTTTGATAGGGATTTATGCCCATCCATGTTTTTGGCTACTCTACTTACTGTAGCATGAAAAATTAGCCTACATTTATATCCATAAATAGATAAATCCATATTCAATTTTGTGTTTAATATAAAATGGAATATTATCAAACTATAGTGACAGATGACATCACAAAACGAGCAGGAAAATGGATGGAATTAAATTAAAATGAATAATATTAAGGCATGTCTTACAATCTCAATATAATCACATCTTCCATAATCAGATCCTTTCCTATAAGGTGTGAATCTTCATGTGCAAATAGGTGAGTATAAATTTAGTTTAAGATTTAGACAGGAGATGAAGAAAGTTAATGTTAGGCAATGGCTGATAAAAGAATCCATGAGTTATGGGAGAACATATCTAATTAATTATTTTTTTCTATACTCTGCCATGTTTTTATCCTGTGGTTGACAAGGGCATAAAAATGTAATTGGTAGTGGCAGTGTAAAAGCATGAGCAAAGCAACATGGCTTCAGCGTAGATCTCTGAATTATATAGATCTAAATTGAAATAAACTGATTTTGGACCCGGGCAAGTGTTATTCTGAGTGATTATTTCATTATATCTCTTTAAGTCTTTTGTTTTTGTGTTCATTAAAATAAAATGATTTTAGCATAAATTGAAATGGCATCACAATTTATTCAGAGAAGTGTGTATGACTCAACTTAGCCAGCCCCAAATATAGTCCATCCTGATGGACACATAGAGAGATATCATTTGATTATATTGATAGATGCCATTAAAGTTTATTTCTTTTCTTTCTTCCATTAAGAAAAGATTCTTTTCTTGTATAATATTCCATGATTACATCTTCTCTTTACTTAGTCCTCAGAATTCCTCTCCACCTCCCTTTCCATGCTGATTGACTTCCTTTCTGTCATTAGGAAAGAACTGGCTTCTAAGTCATAACAACATTGCATAAGATAAAATATAGAGATAAAAATCCCATCAAGATCAGACAAAACAAACCAACCAAAGAAAAGAAAAGATCCCAAGAAAAGGCACAAGCATCAGGGTCCCACTCATTCATATAATCAAGAGTCTCAAAAACTACTAAACTGATCTCTGTAATATATATGCCTGAGATGAGGTGAAGAACCTTGCAGTCCCCAGGCTTGTTGCTTCAGTCTCTGTGGTTGCATAAAATCTTTGTTCAGTTGATTCAGAGATCCTTGTTCTCCTGGTGGTATCCATGCCCCTGGCTCTTACACAGGGTTTAATTCAATGGGAATATTCAATTTTCCAAGTCTGATGTCACAAATTCTTTCAACAAAGTCCAGCACTCTTTTATCAAAAATGCCATGAAGTGACTATAGATGCAAGTAAAATTGCTTAGCAATTATAAAGGCAACATAGTACTACAGGCAGGGATTAGGATCCATGTATATTCTTCAGTGGAATCATAAACTTACTGACCACCTCCAGGTATTTTTAACCTTCAAAGGTATGCATAATTTCTTTAAATGCTACCATAGTTGAGATATAACTTGCAAATCTCATGTCTTTGGAAAGTGTAAGGATGGAAAAATTTAGCCTAACTCTACCTAGACCGTGCACCCCAGCAGTGAGTAGGCAAAAGGTCACATTCTTGATTGTTTATGACAGGGCTGTTTACGACAGTACCTGTGAGTGAGTGAACACAGGAAACGAGCCTTGTCACACTACCCAGAAGCCCTAGCAAAAGCAGGCGTCCTGGGCTAAGCGCAGGCTTGGATAGTTCAAATTAATTAGTCCGCACTGGATGCTGTGAGATGATTGGTTTATGATGCACAGGCTTTGTTGTAATCCTATAAAAGCTGTCTAAACCCTGTACCCAGGGTTCCCAGTCCTCTACCCCACGTGGAGTATGGCTGTGGAACCCAGTGCACTGGAATATAAAAGAACTCATGCTTTTGCATCAAGACCACTTCTCGTGAGTGATTTGGGGGGGCGCCTTTCCTGAGTCAGGGCGTGAGGGTCCACGCCTTCTGTGGGTCTTTCCAAGGCACTTACTATTTGAGCCATATTAATAAAAGGAGAAGGGGGAAGGATAAATACACAACAAGAGAAGAAAAATGAGCAAAAGTCTGAAGAATTCTAGGGAATACTAGACAAGTACATATTTCAGTTGGATAAACTTGTTCCACAAAATGACATAGACTCTAGAAGTCAGGAATATGTATTAGTGTCATAGAGGAGCTGAAAATGGCTAAAACTTGAGGAGTGAATAAATTTGATTCAAATACAAAAGACATAGTGTTCATTATAAGATATTTGGATCTGGAGGATGCACAGAAGAGGATGGAAGACACAGGTCAATGACAATGCACTGCAGTCTAGGGAAGTAACAGCTAAGGAATGTAAACTAATGAAAACACAGAGTTACTCAGATTTTCCAGTGTGGAAAAGAGATGTAATAGAGACTAGTGTGGTATGATGAGGTGTCTTGGGTTTCTGAAACAGTAGTAGAATGACGGTGGATACAGAGAATGCTTTCACATTGGTCCTTTGAATGTCTGAACTTTTCTTGTCCTAGATATCAATAAATATTTCAAAGTACTCATCATTTCTCTGGGAGCTCATGACAATAATAATATTTAGTCTAAACTAGGTCCCACCCATGCACCAATATAAGCACAGTAATAGCTATCAACATGCACAGGGGGTTTCTAGATGGTGTAATATTGTCTGAGCCTGTCTTTCTTATTGATCATGTATGATGAGTCTCATTATTTTGTGCTATAAGAAAGAAGACCTAACTTCAGAGGGATGCCAAACTATGCTCATTCTCAAGCGAGGATAACTCCTCCCTTGTCCCTCAACTGTCTTTCAATATCATAGTTTCTTTTAATTACATTTATAATTATGAATATTAAATGTGTTTATTTTAAAATAATGAAAATTAGATACACATTTATACTCTTCTAAATTCACTATTGTCAACAATATGTACAAATATTTAGACCTGACCACATGGTATAAGATAACCAATCCTTAGAGAAGAGTTATTTTCCTTTATCTCAGTTCATTTATTACTAGTACCTTTCCATCCAGAAGTGGAGACTTGTCAGATTTCCTGTCCATGTTGTAACACCAACTGCCATTATCACTGTTTAGGACTTTTGTGAAAATCATGTTCTTAAAATTTCATGAATCAATTTAAGGCTGGCTCAAGAGGAAACATTCCGTACCTGCTTCTGTATATAAGGCTAATGGCTGAAAACACCATTAACCAAGAAGAGAAACTATTTCTATCTTCCCAAACAAACATAATTTACTACTCTATTCTATATACATATTCAGATACCCACAGGTAAGAGTAGAACTGAGCCAGCATCAGCATAGAACCGAGAAGGAAGAGACTATTGCAGCAGTCCACAACTGGTCAAAATTCATAGAATATCTGATTCTCATGTGCCTAGCAAAATTTCATACATGTTCTTCACATGCCTTACAAGTAAGCCTCAGAACAAAAAGGATCTAAGAATGGAAATGTTGTAAAATCCAGAGGACCATAGTAACTGGATAGATAATATATCCTCTCAATATACCAAAGAAGCAGAGGTATGGAGCATTTATAGCTGGCTGTACAATTTCTTTATTTACTAACCATATCTACCAGTCATAGGGCAGGATGAACTTATGATTGAAAACAAATGCTAGTTTTCCAAGCTAAATCCATTTTTCTGGAATTTTGTCATTTAATATTTTTTCTCCACAGCTGAATAAAATATACACATGTACACACACACACACACACACACACACACACACACACACACACACACACGATGTACTCTCCTAAGAGCCTTACATCAATGTTTACTTTTCTCTTTTGGTAATTATATCATTGAAAAGAGTTGGTATCAATTTTAATGTTTACATCCATCTTTTGTTATTACCATGATTAGAGATGGAAGTTCAGTATGTGTTTGCTTATAGAAATAATAAAATGAAAGAACAGAATAGAACAAAAAAGAATAAAAAGAGGGAAGGCAATTTAAATCATGGAACTCTGAATTCCAATGTTTAATATTAGCAAGTATAGCAAAGCATGGAAACTGAGGTTTAATGCCTGACAACTAGAAAGATGCACAATGTTGGAACCCATGGAGCTGTTCCT